TTGGGCCACTGATGGTTTCATGGACCCTTGGGTTCCCTAAGCCACCATGTAAGAGGTGCTATTAACCCTCATGCTTTGCCTTAAACAATAGCTTATAGAGGTACTGACTTAGGAAGGCATTTTCCCCATTCTGCAGAGCCATTCAAATGTACTTAAACAGTAGCATTTCCTACTAGTGCTGCTCCATCGTTATATGAGTGACAGAAGGTGAAGCCACACCAAGGTATCAGCAGGTGGGTCCTTCTTGACATCAGTCATATCTAAGTCAGAAAAGCAGTAGTTCAAATGTTCCCCGTGTCTTCCACAGCCTTCGCCACTGATAGCAGCGACAGCAGGGAATGTTAAGGAAAGCCTAAGGTCTCGGTTCCTTCTTTCTTTGTAGCATTCACGCAGAATAATATCACTACAAAGAGTGCATATGCCATCAGCTTTGAAGTGTAGGGCTTTTTTATTATTCAGGTTGTGGTGAAATGAAAAAGATAAACAATTATCCTAAACACTATGGAGGACAATTGAGAATCAGCCCTCCTGATGCCTAAAGACCCTTCAGACAGCACTCTCAGAAGGAAGACTTCTAATCTTGAAAATTCTCTGGTAAACTGGGTTATTTATAATTTCCATTGGCAAAAACGAAAATTAGTATGGACATAAATGTACATGACACATAGGCTGCATGACTATCTTGTATGTCTCTCTTACTTTCTAAATTAATAATTTAAGTATCAACTACCATTCCAAATAGTAATATTGGAGAAGAATTTTGAAGACCTTGAACTGCAATATATCTTAAGTTTTGACCCAACAGCACCAAATTTTAAGTAAATACAGTATCACTAAAACAGAATGCAGTAATTGGTTTACAAAACCTGTCTTATCTTACCCACCTTTAGCTTTACTAGCTAAACAAAACTGGTAAATCTGTGGACTCTGAGCTGGGTGGGGGATGATCTCCTCGCAATAACAGTGGCTGAACAAATATACATGGTTTACACACAAAAGGCTCAAAAGCAGGAAACAGGTATTGGAAGGCTGGCTACTAATTAACTCAGGCCTATCTGGGAAATGGAGATAGAAAGTGAACTGAACTACAGTTTCAACTACAGAGTTGAACTTTCATTTAGCCATTTACTGAGCTGAAAGATTTTAAAACCATGGCTGAGCTACATTTTTTTTTTATGAGATAGGTAAATACTGCCCACATTGGTACATGTTAGACAGATTAACATGGATCTGCAAACAGTTACCCTTTCTAGACAGAAAAAGTGAGGGTTTCACAGCAGTTTTCACCAAAATCTTTGGCAAAAAAAGTTTCCAGGTATTTAGGAGGAAGTGACATCTTCTAGGGAGGATGTTTTCCTTCACCTTCTAGAAATAACTCCACATATTACTGAGAGATCTGCTTCTGGTTGTTATTATGCAATGACAAAGTCACAATCCATTGTTGGAGTCATTTTGTAGTGAGTCATTATATTATCTACCAGCATGATGACTGCTTATTGTGAGTAACTAACAGAAGCAAATGAATTACTGAGAAACAGAGAGCTGACTGCTTGTGCAAATACCCTACAAACCTCCTGAAATTGCATATGGGAGCACCTGACAGGATTTTGGGCTTTTTACTTCTGTAAATATTGGGCTTTTTTACATAAATAGCAAAGAAGGTGGAAAATTCTTAGATAGGTGGGAAATTTTCCCAGAATAAAAGATAATTGAAATACTCCAGGGGAAAGGAGTGTGGCTGAGTGAGCCCATTTTAATATGGCATGGATTTGTTTGTCCTGTGCTAAAAAACCAAATCTTCCTTTCCTTCTGTAGAGCTGGGTAACAGCTGATAGATGGCAGCATTACAGGCTTGCATGTGAAGCAGCGGTCAGATTATTTGTTTAGAAAGAAAAAGCATCCATCCCTTCTAACATACATAGAAGACCCTGGTTGGATATTTGTTTACAACAGTTTACAGAACAGGTTTTCTTTTATTTTTTAAAGAACTGGAAAATATATTCCACGTGTTGATTTGTAAAGCGACACAGAAATTCAATGCATGTGGTACCTGAATCCTCTTCCTCTGGATCCCATAATCCTGGGTCATTGTGCTATGTGGCATTTTCTGGTATACACACTGTAAACATATAGATAAACTATACTTACGCTTTAGCTCAATAATAGGAGCTATCTTTTGTGGACTGACAAGATGCCAATTGTTATCACCAGTGTATAGCATCTTATTGTTTCAGCCATAAAGTTAATGTTGATATTATTACAATAAGATGGTAAAGGTTACTCTCTTTACAGAAATGGAAACTAAAGCAGAATAGCGAAAAAGCTACAAACTTCCTTTTCAATGTCTGCTTCTTCTGACTATTTAAAGTATGTTGAAAACTGTATGGTGCTATTGTAATTAAGATGACAGACAGCTGTACTTGCAAAATTCTAGTAAGAAACCGGTTGATGGTGAATGTTCCAAAAGGCTTGCAAAAGCTACAGGGATGCTAGTGGTGGCACAGGAGAAGGAATGCACAGTCCAAATGTGTTTCATGATTCTCCTGCTCAGTCATGGGGGAAAAAAAATATTTTCATTAACATTTCAGATTGAAAATGGTTTTTTTTCTTTTCTTTTCTTTTCTTTTTTTTTTTTAAACAAAGTCTCTGTTTTCCTAGAAAATTGTTTAGCTTTAGCAGAAAACAAACAAAAGATGTTTCTTCTAGGTGCTGACCAGAACTTTCTCCTCTCCCCCCCTTTTTTTCTTAGGCTACAAATGTCAATAAAATCACTTTTCAAAGTGTCTTAAATTTACAAAATAATGTCCCAGGCTAATACTACATGGTGCTACGTCTCCTAGGCAGAAGCACAGCCTTTAATTCAAGCAACAGATTTGAGTGCTTTAATATCTTGGCAGGTCCCAGATTGAAACCCTGCTGTTAACTCCTGCAGTTAACCATACAATAAAGCATCTTCTCACTCCTAGAGCCTGAAGAAGTGCTTTTAGCAACAGTTCTATAAGGTAGTGCCTGCATTTTTCTTGGCAGACAGAGGTGTGTCAAAGTATGACTAAATCATCCTGAGTTGCATGTTATTTCTGAAATAATTATATATTTCCATATACTGCTTTTAGCAGCGTGAACCTCTGTCCCAACCTGCTATTGTAGAGACAGAGAGAGAGAGCAAGAGAGGAGGGACTGCCCACATCTGGACAGGAGAACCAGTGGCATCATGAAATCCACGGGGACGATGGAAGATTGAAATTACAGCGCGGAACTAATGGTACCAGAGACTAGGTATTTCCTTGTGAACAACTTACATCTAAATTGTGCCCTGCCACAGCTGTCACTGCCTTTCTTCACCGAGCAGTATATCCCTGGGCAAGTCTATCCACTGACCGAGGGCTCCAGGAACCAAGTACTCTGTCCCTGTTACTTCCATTGCAAATTTCTTTATGATCCAGGATGACCATACTTCTTTTTGAAAACCAACCAAACAAACAAACACACACTTTCCCTTCTGACTTGCTACACATCCTTTCCATGAGGTTAATAATTATACACAGTTCTGGTAAAAAAAGTTGCATTGAACCTAGCATTGGCTCACAATTACCCCAAATTGGAGGCTGGTAATTTATACTTGCAAACAGAATATACCTGCAGCAATGAAAGATATATGCTAGTTTTTTAATAGCTTAAAGGCCTCTCTTTATTCTGCTGATCTATTTTTTTCCTTCATTTTTAAATTCTCCAATCTGCCTGCTGTCCTTTGCATCATTTGTGGCATTAAATGAGATGACTTTCTCTAGGGAATGTTCTTCAAAGGCATTATTTTATAAACAGCTTTAGTTGTACTCCAGAATTAAATAAAATAGAAAGAACTTTTGAAAAATATTCTTAATATTTATTTTTAAAATCAAATGTAGATCTTTTCAAATGAAAATTAATACCTGCGTGAGGTGTCAGATGAGGAACGTGGAAAGGTTTGAATACACACACATGCATTTAATAAGATACTGACTGTCACGCTGACAGCCAAACTGCCCTGCTGAAGAGCTTTACTTTGATTTAGAGCAACAAATTCTGAAAATAAACATCTGAGGTGCTCTCTGTCTTCATCAAATCCCTGGACTATGAGAAAGGTACTAATTAGCATCAAATGCTTTTGTGCTTAATTCGCTATGATTTTGACTGAAACAAAATGAGGTAGCTAGGCATGCACTGTGACCCCCGAGAAGGAATGGTTTGGTACCAGATGGTTCAAGACGAAAGCGTGTGACATTCCAGCTAAACAACAGATAAAACAGAGAGGCCAACAGGAATGTTACAGACAAGACTGAGCTCCTAAAATAGATTTTTAATGATTCTAAATGTTTGGGGGGGGTGTGGGGTTGTCGGTTTTTGTTGTTTTTTTTTTACTGCTTCTTGAATAATATCATTCCACCACAATAGATCATATGAAGGAAATTTCAGGCTAACAGTAGTTGGCAAGATAAGCATATAATCTGCATTTAAAAATCTGATGTAGATTCATTGATATAAAAGGTATAAAAAGCACTACCTTTAAAGTTAACTGAACCAATGCTAAATGCGAGACAGAATTACAAGCGGGCCAATAGTGCTTCAAAATGCTACTGACAAAGGAAATACTGCAATGTTTTAAAGTAAATCAGTCAAGTGACGTGAACTTACTATTTGGAATATTGTTCCTCCTCAGGGTTGGTATGTAATTCCAGAAGATTATAATTATGAGTTCCATAAGACTCAGTGGAAGGTTATAAGGATATATTTAAAATATTAATCACCATTCAGAAATAAGACTTTTAAAACATCAGGATAATTAGTTCCATTAAAGTGACATCTCCATTGATACTGCTCTAGCTCTTCCTAACATGAGTCCATCAGCTGATCCGTCTGTTGTGTCACATGCAAATGTGTTAATTAGGCTTATTCATAACTTCCTTTGTTTCTGAGCCGATCAGTGTACGGAATTATGCCTACATTTTTCATTCCTACTCTAGGGTAAAATCTCCAGAGCGATAGAAGATAGGCTGGCAGGCGAGGAGGCACTGAAGTCAAGAGATCCCAGCTCCCTACTGCATTGTGTCTGTGCAGTCCTGGTCTGTGAAATGGGTCTGACAAACTGCTATGTCTTGACTGGAAGGTAAGTTGCCTTGTGACAGGATTCGCATTCCAGTGTGCACTCCTTTTCCATCAAGAAAGCTACTTCACAGAGCTAAAGCCATTCAAATATCAGGTTTGAGGATTCTACTCACTAGGAGAAAATTACACGCCCTATGCAATATTTCTTTTAAAAATCTCTTAGGCTTTGAGAGTCAAATTTTGTTAATTGGCTGTTATCGCATCTCTTTGAATCATTACAGACCACATCCTGATATAAGATTCTGCATCAGTAATATACATGGTAAATCTGATGCTGGTGAGAAATCTAGTCAAAATAAATTTGTGGGTAGAGTTTTGGATTGAGAAGAATGCATATAACTAACTCATCTTAGGACAAATTTGATTAGGATTACATATTGTAAAACCTGTATTCCAGATAGCTAAGTCAAACCAAGTCAGAACCTGAAAGCTGTCATGTACCCTTGGTTCTCGGAATCTATCAGAGATATTTCTTAAGAAACAACAGTGCCACTTTGTACTCTATACCACTAGTCTTACAAGTTCTGTTCTCCTATACTAGTTTCACTGCTATTTTCATGTAATAGAAGCAAAGCACCTCAAATAACATCCTGTTAACATAAATAAGCTTGAATTTAATTCCTTATAGAAGCACAAATTTAGAGTAAATCTTGAATTAACTGATATTCTGGGATAGTGCTATTTCAAGAGGTCCAACAGGGATGGTATTTTGAAATACAGACCCACACTGTGTGAAAACCACATGCCTTTTTCTCTTCCTACATACAGGCAGCTCTGACTCTCACAGAATCAAGCCCATACATCGTGAGCAGAACAAGAGACGTGATGACACAACAGGATGCAATACAAATATCATTTGCTAAGCAGACTCCTGAAGTCTTCTAGGCAAGCTTCCCTGAGCGAGGAATGCTGGCTGCCACTGTATCATCACTTGCACTACCAGGGAAGAAGAAAGTCGGTTTCATTCTTTCCAGACCTGGGAAACTCAACCTTAAGAACTGATTATACACCCAAAGACACCTTCAGCAGTAAGATATCCTTGGGGAATTTTTTGGTCCACTAGAAGTAACTGTCCTACCAACAGAAAATCCACTTTCCTCTGGCCCCATTCCCACACACGCTCCCTACAGCTATTTCCACCCACACTACAGCTCTTTTTAACTGTGTTTAAAAAGCTGAGAGAAATGTGCTGCTGCTGCTGCTGCTGCTAGTGCTCCTCCTCCTCAGGTGGGCGGGTTGGTAGCTGGTCAGTTTTCTGCAGCATTTCTCATTGCTGGATGCGTGGGAGGCTGAGAGCAGGAAGGGAAGGAAGCAGTCCTCTTAGGAGGGGAGGCATATCAAAGCAAGTGGGAAGCAAATAGCCCCTTCCCACCTGCACATGTGCAATTATATGCAAATGAAAAACTAACACAATAGATCTGCAAGCAGAGCTTTCCAAGCTGGGGTCCTAAAAGGTATCAAACAGCTCGGGTCTCAAAGCCAAATTCAGGGGTGACCAGATCTCTAGGAAGATCACATTTTTCACCCACAAAGAAGAACAGACCCGTGGGGAGGGAAGAGGGAAAGGGGAAGGGAAGCGGGCGTTCCTTACAGTTACGGTTTTGTACGGTTTTGTACGTAGGTGGAGGGTGGTTGGAGGGGGGGAGTGACAGATTGCTTGTGGCAGCAGGGAAGAAAGATGTAGGAGGGTGTTTGCCCAGGGTCCTGTCTAACCTAGGGGGTACTGGCAGGGTGGATGCAGCGCGAGTGGTTTGTCTAAGCCGAGATGGTGGGAGGCAAGGAACCCACTGGTGGATGGACCTTGCCTGGGGCCTCTCTCCCAGCCCCATCGACACAGCAGCGTCTGCAGCAGCACCCAGCCACCCCCACACTTTCCCCGGTGCCCTCTGAGGCCAAAAGAAAATGGAAACTACTTCACTCACAGTTTCATTATGGATTTGCTTTCATCCTTTTCCAAACATTTCTAGTTCCCCACTGATAAGACGCAAATTAACTGGTGGAGGAAAAAAAAAAAAAAAGAAAAAGAAAAGGCAAAAAGAAAAAAAAAGGTTTTTTTTTTTTCCCCTCTCACACACTTTCTTGTTACTGGAGAAATTCACTACTGCATGCCATTAGCTGTGCCCTCATCCCAAATCTACAACTTCAGATGTTATACGGATGCATTATTTGAGAAGTCTCTGACTAAAAGCCCTGGAGAAGACACTCTATTCCCATGGGATTGCTCACATTACAGACAATAGCAAAAATTTGGTTCTTCATATTACATATGTGGTTCCTGTGTTTCAGTCCTTCCCTGGCCTGCCCTGTTATTAGAAAGTGGAGAAACAGATTGGTTTTCCACTTATTTTAAGTCCACTTCTTCTCTCACTGACATCAATGGATGACCCTCCACTGCAGTACTGGGTGTCCGTGTTGGAGCAAGGAAATTTGAACCTGTGTCATCTGTGGTGGTGTTTTAGAATATTGTCAACTGAGACTGGACTACGAAAAAACAATTTGAGGATTGCTTGTCAGTACAGTAATAACCAGTTAGAAAGGATGAACTGGAAATTTTCCCATTCTATTCCTCAAGCCTTCACAGACTCATTTTTCCTTACCTTCATACACTGTAAGGATGCACTTGCTACCCACACATAGAGAAATTAGATGCTAGCTGTTAGACCAGCAGAGGAAAAGATTACATTTATAGCAAGCCCGGATGCAGAAGCACGGGACATGATGAAGTACTTGTACCATTTATTATCTGGTCTTGGTGAACTACACTGGTTGTTCTCAGAGGCAAGTAAGTGAGAGGTAAAAATTAATGATTAATTAGGGGTATATAGGTGGCATACAGAACACAGCTGAGCTGCTCTTGGAATCCTTGGGAGCAAGAGCTCCCACATCCTCAAGTTATATGTTGTTCTGGAAAAGAAACAAAACGCAAAAACATCTGCTCAACTCTAAAGTCCTCCTACAGTCTGCAATTTGTTTTCTTGTTCCAAAACTGCTGAACACACTGCCAGGAAATTTCTCCAAGGGGAGGAATTACAACCTGCTTATCCTTCTGGCTATTGCAATCATACTCCCTGAGTTCCTGGCTTGGTTACTAGGGGTGCTGCTCACCCCCAGTATAGCCAGTCTCCTGCAGCCCTTGGCTAACAGCAGTATCATCCATAAACTGCCAGGTTAAAGATCATTTCATTCTGCTTGTTCTCATACAACTCCACTATTTTCACTCTTTTTCCTATTTCTACTTATAGAAGTATTTTATTTACTTTTTAGAAAACACTTTCACTTTGATATTCCACTCTGCAGAAAATGGAGTGTGCAGAAGGTCTATTAAAAAACAGAATGATATCTGAATTAATTTTTGGACTGGCTTTCAGTCACTAAATGGCTGGCTGTGAGAAAATTGTGATTTTCTAATACCTCCCCTCCCAACCCCCCCCAATTCAAGCCATCACCAGCATGTTTTAAAATGAAGTAGAATGCTAGGCTCAAGGAAGATGGCTCTTCTGAAACCACCCCTTCTTCTTGAAACAAATAAAAAAAAAAGGGGAAAGAATTTAAACATTAAGCATAAATTCATTGTCAGCACTATGGGAAGAAATCAGTAGCTGTGGCAAGACAATACTTGCTCTTACTTCACTGTTTACAAACGAGCAAGCCCCACTCTTGTTCTAAATCAGACATACAGCTGGAAGACAACAAATAAAGGGTCTATGCTATTATTTATACTGAAGCTGGCGAGGGGGGGGGGGGAATAGATGGGGGAACAGATTAAAATCAGCATAAGTAAAAGATGAATCAGACCACTGACTTCTATTTTGGACTCTAGAAGCAGACATCCTATGTAATCACATCCTGATCACAGCCTTGCCCATGTGCAATGTGTGCAGGTGGAATTTATTAAGATATTTCCAGGGGTTTCAAACAGCTTCCACCTGCTCTTACCCAAGGTTAGCTTCCACACACAGATTTCTTCACTTCCACAATGACACTAACAAAAAGGTTACCCTACAGAAAGGTTGTCTTCATGTTTGTCTGTGAAATGTATGGACTTTCAGATATAGGATATTAAGTACAAAAACGTTATCTGCTTATCAAACTCACCATACTTTGGTTATACCTGGATAAGAGATGCAGAGTTATCTCATCCTCAAAAATAATTTAAAAAATATAAGTAAGGGTTCAGATTTGGCAACTGTGATAATTTGGTGTCACTTATTAGATTTAATTGCATGGTACTTGCTGTAAAACAGCATATAGGGCTGTATATACTCAAGATGACACTAATACGCTGCATCTTTGATGATCATATAATCTGTAGGTAAAAGTTCAAATGGTCTGGTTGGTCTAGTGAATCCTGCAATTAATTAGTTCACAGTAGGCAGTCTCCCAATGCCTGCAAAAGCACCTCATGTCCTGTTCTCAGTTATTTTTTGTTCACAGTGTACAAGACTGAAAACTGAGACTGCATAATACAAAAATGTTCTGCATCTTTTTTTTTGTGCCCATTTAGTTTGATTAAGATTTTTTACAAGCAAATTTAATATACTGAGAGTTACTGCAACATAAATGCCAATACAGATAACACTGCTATAAGCAGGGGCTGAATCATTTCCTGAAACAAAGAGCAAGGTTGCCCTCTGGGGACTTCTCTAGAAGTGCTTCTGAGAACTGGGATTTTTTTGTTACAGAAAAATAATTTCGCTACAAGGTTTTAAGATTTTTTTTTTTTTTTAATATGAATGTGAATCAAGACAGCCAGTGCAAAGAACTTGCTACATTGAGAAATGATGAAGCTACACTTCTACCCAATGCACTGTATTGTCATTTACTCCATGGTTCATCACACTTTTCAGTATCAGTCTCATGCTGGTATGTGTCAGCCTAAAAATGTCTGGTCTGACATAGTTACTGAAATAAAAGTGAATTTAGTATTATGGACTCTTACTATGATGTCCATAAATTGTCAAATGCCTTAATTTTCTCTTTTTAAAAAAATGGCAATTTTCCTGGTGTCAATTTCTGATTCTATTTACCCTGAACATATGCCATCTTTGAGCTCACAGTTCTGTCCCTAGCTGCTGTTGGGGCAGTAACCACGTTAGCTGCTTAATCCCTGTATTTACCTTCTAAGAGAAGCAGGTTTTGGTGGGATGCTACCTTAGAACAGCTCCTTAATTCCGGCTCACTAGTCTTGTGTGTATCAGTAGCCAAGAGGGCAGCACAGGTGTGACAGCTGGCGTAAAAGGATGAGGAGAAACAGGGAGGTCAGAAACTCAGAAACTGGTTTTGCTGCTGAAAACAACACATTGTCAAAAATGATTCTATGATGATCCAAGGGCTGGAGCACCTCTCCTATGAAGACAGGCTGAGAGAGTTGGGGTTGTTCAGCCTGGAGAAGAAAAGGCTCCAGGGAGACCTTATTGCGGCCTTCCAGTACCTAAAGGGGGCCTACAGGAGAGCTGGGGAGGGACTTTTTACAAGGGCATGTAGTGATAGGACGAGGGGGAATGGCTTCAAACTGGAAGAGGGTAGATTTAGATTAGATAATAGGAAGAAATTTTTCGCTCTGAGGAACAGGCTGCCCAGAGAAGTTGTGGATGCCCCATCCCTGGAGGTGTTCAAGGCTACGCTGGATGAGGCTTTGAGCAACCTGGTCTAGTGGGAGATGTCCCTGCCCATGGCAGGGGGGTTGGAACTCCATGATCTTCAAGTTCCCTTCCACCCTAAACCATTCTATGATTCTATAAAAAATGCAGCTTCAGCCCCCTCTGAAGCTAGTTTGGCAAGACGGCTTTCCCCAGCTCAGGCACCAACCACCATGGTTGATGTTCATTGCTACATAGGGCATTGTTCACCTCACCCACGAAAGAACCCGCCTCACCTCACGTCCTCCCACTTCCCCGGCCGAACCCAGGACGTGGAGCAGCCCAGCTTCAGCCCAAATCCTGCCAAACTAAGGAAAACTCTTTTGTCAGTCGCTAGGCTGACTGGAAAAGGGCTCTTCAAGGGGGGAGCGGGTGGGCCGCCCGACTCCG